CAAGAATAGCATGGTTGTTAATAATGTTCCACAAATGCCCTTTCCCCTTCACTTCTTCCCATTTTTTCTCCACCTCCCCTCTATTCATACTACATTTCTACCTCAATTTCTTGTTCACTCTTATTTTCCCCCCTCCCTACCAAATCCTAGACAGGTCCACCTCTGATACCAAATGAAATCCAAAGGAAGTACTTACACCATACACAACTGATATTACACATAAGGGCATAGAATTTGGAGGATGTTATTCCACAACATTTAGATTTTTTTTTTTACAGTTATATTTTTTAGCAATTAAGAACTGGAAATATCCTAGAAACTTGCCTGTTATGTCTCCAGACATGATCAAATATCCCTTGAGGATTAAATAACTGTTGGTTCATCAAATCTTTCCAGTCTATTTCTTTCAATCTAGTACCCTGTTTCTTCTCTGGCTAAAACACCTCCAATTCCTTTAAACTTGCCATACAAGATTCTTCTTATCCCATTTCTTTTGACACTAATTAAAATGATTGTTATATTGGAAGGTTTTTACCAACATTACTGAGAACAGAATCTAGAATAGACACCTAAAATGGTTTACGACATCACTATCCAATAGAAATTAAATGTGAGACACGATATGTAATTCTAAATTTATGCAGTAGTAAGAAGAAATGGGTAAAATTCACATTTTTATTATTTTCAAAATTCAGTACATACTTTACACTTAAATAGCATAGCTCAACTTACATTAGCCACATTTCAAGTGTTCAATGGCTGTGTATGACTAGCTATTAAAAACAAGGTAGATCTATAATCATATCAATGAATATGGAAAAGTGCTTAAAACAGATCAAATATTATAAACCAAAAATAGAACAAAATAGATTTCTAGTGTATTAAGCAATGACTTTTCCACAGTGTTGGCTACATTATATGCCTCCTTGGAAACTTGATATACATAAGATCACTCTAGCCCCTGAGAGTTTATAACAGGGGCCTTACTCTTCCTATCCTATCTGATCACAACGAAGGTGAGATTCACATTTATAAGCACTAGTCTTCATGAAAAATGTCTTGTAAAATAAAATAGGCACTGCTCAATGCATAATAAAATCATTTGTTTAATGTTTTATATGTCTAGAAACACATATACTAACATACATGGTGTACTTTACAGGGAATTACAGGTAACTTATTTTCTTTAGCTCTTGATTATCTCTTTTAGAATTCTACAGCAGAGGCAGTACCACCCCTAAATAGCTTTTTGCAAATGAAGAGAAGGGTGAGCAAGTAGGAATAAGAGCCAGATGCCAAAGGCCCTGCAATGCCTGGTTATGCCACACAACTAATACTTAGCCTACATCCCACAAATTTTGACCGTCCCACTGAGCACTCATTTACATGGAAAAATCTCTGTATAATTAATCAACCCTAATACCATACTGTTATACATAAAAATGCAAAGTACACCTTACACTGCTAAATGTGCACTAAATTTTCCCAAAATTTAACTACTATATGAATCAAGGGGTAACTGTTCTCTTTTGTTGGGATTCTATAAAAATTCACTCACCAATTTAGAAAATTCAATCACTGAAGACAATAATCACTTATGATTATTCAGTCACTAATACACTAGTAACAATTTGTTTTTCAAAGTCATAAAAGATTACAAACGTGTGTTAATATTATTTTGTTATATTCTCAGGCATACTCATGACTGACTATGCTAAAATATACTTATTTCCTTAAACAGTTTTATTAATTACAGAATTTTTATTTCTCTATTTCAGGTAGTAAATTATATTTAGTCCTTTAATTGTTTTATATAGATAAAATGTGGCATGTATAAAAATTATACTTCAAAACAATCAGGGGCATTATCAAATATTTTTCATAAAAATGGGATGTTCATTTTCAAATAAATTAATCTAGTCACAGACCTTATACCCATCACAAAAATTAAGGCAACCCGAGTCACATATCTCAATGTAAAATACAAAACCATAAAGCTCTCATTTTATGATATGTAAGAAAACCTAAATGACCTGGGCATGGCATTAACTTTGTAGAAATACAATCCATGAAGGAAATAATTAATAAGCTGGACTTCATTAAGATTAAAAGTGTCTGCTCTAGCACTTTTTACAATAGGTAAGCTATGGAAACAACCCAAATGCCCAAAATAAATCACTGGTTCAAGAAGATGTGGTATATATATGCACTGGAATATTACTCAGCAATCGAAAAGATAAACTCATGCCATTCACAGCAACATGGATGGAGCTGGAGGGGATCATGCTCGTGAAATAATACAGAAAGAGAAAAAAGAAAAATACTAGATGGTTTCACTTATAGGAGGAATGTAGAGGATCCAAATAAGGAATTGGGGGGGAGGGGAGTAATTATAATCAAGTACAAATCAAAATCAACAAGCAACTAAAACCAGATACATTCTGCAGGGAGAGTGGGGAGAAGGAAGTAGGATCAAAATGGGTGGGAAGAGCACAAGGGACTGTGGGGATGGTACTTGAGTGAATTGATGGTGGCAATTTCATGGGAGTTATAACCGAGATGAGAAAACATACATTGCACAAAAATGAAGAATGAAGTTAAAAAATACATAAAATTAAATTTTTTAAAAATGTGCCTGCTCTGACTCATCTCCAAATTTGACATTAAAGTGATCAGCAGGTACATGAAAAAATGTTCACAATCACTTATTATTAGAGAAATGCAAATCAAGACCACAATAAGATACCATCTCATACCTGTGAGAATGGCCCATATTGAAAAGCTCAGAAACAACAAGCACTGGTGAGAATGCTGAGAAAAGGGAATCCTCCTACTCTACTGGTAGAAATGTGAACTGGTCCAGCCCTTATGGAAAGCAGTATGGAGGTGTCTCAAAATATTAAAAATAGATCTACCATCCGACCCTAGGCCTCTCTCCAAAAAAATTGAAAAAGAAAGGAAACTTGCACTCCCATGTTACTGCAGCAGTAATAGCTAAACTATGGAAAGAACCTAAGTGCCCCAGAACAGATGAGTGGATCAAAAAGATGTGGTATATATACACAACAGAGTATTACTCGGCCATCAAATAAGATAAACTCATGCCATTTGCTGCAACATGGATGGAACTTGAAAGGATAATGCTAAGGGAAGTAAGTCAGAAGAAGAAAGATAAATACACTATGGTGTCATGAATATGTGGGATATAAAGCAACAAAATTAACAGATAAAGATGAGCTGAAAAACGAACTCTTGAAAGCGGACTACAGAACTGAAGCACCAAGGAGGTTGGGGGGCTGGAGGGGTAAAAACAAAGAGGGAAGGAAGCACAGTGGTCTATGGTTATGGAACATGGTTAAGTTGCTGGTGGGTACACTTTGCTGGTAATACCTGGTGGAGGTTCCCCAATATTACCTGAGTAAAAAATAATTTTTAAAAATAAATTTTTAAAAAGTATTTTACATTAGTGAATAAATACATAAATACCGGAATGAAGTAAAGTGTCTGCTCTGTACAAGGCAATGTCAAGAAAATGAGAAGTCAAAGACCAGCAGAAAATATATGCAAAAAGACAAATCTGATATATTTCCCCACATCCAAAATATACAAAGAACTCTTAAAACTCAACAGTAAGAAAACAACTTGATTAAAAAATGGGCCAAGGGGAGTCTCCCTGGTGGCACAAGGGTTAAGTGTCAGCACTATGAAACAATCTGCAGCCACTGAAGCATGAGTTTGATCTCCGGCCAGGGAGCTACCCACATAGCCCAGCAGACCTCTCCTGTCTTGCCCAATGCTCCCCACTCAGCAGTGTATTTCAGTCAATCCGCCTGTTCTGTTTCTATCTCTGGTGAATCCTCTCACCCCCCACCCACTGTACCTCTGGCCTACACCCCAGCTCTTGTATGCATAAATAAATAAATCTTTAAAAAAAAAAAAAAAGTGGGTCAAAGACATTTATAGACACCTCACCAAAGAAAAGGTAATATGGTAACAAGAAGATGCTCCATGTCCATGTTATCGGAGAAACATAAGTAGAAACAATGAGATTCCACCACATACATATAAATGGCCAAAATCCAGAATTACGACGACACCACATGGTGGTAAAGATGTAGAGCAAAAGAATTCTCATTGTTGGTGGGAATGCTAAAATACAGTCACAGTGGAATATACTTTTGCTGTTTCTTAAAAACCTAAATATACTCTTTCATATAATCCAGCAATCATAATTCTCGGTGCTGAAAACATGTTTACAAAAAAACCTCCAGGCAGATGTTTACAGCAGCTTTATTCATAATTGCCAAAATTTGAAAGCACCAAAACTCTCTTCAATAGTAGAATAGATATACTGTGGTACATCTAAAAAATGGGATATTAGTCAGCAATGAAAGAAATGAGCTATCAAATCATTAAAAGATGTGAAAGAACCTTAAAAGCTTGTCAATATGTGAAAGAATTCAAACAGAAAAGTCTGTATATTGTATGATTCCAACTACATGACATTCTAGAAATGCCAAAATTATGAAAACTGTAAAAAGATCACTAATGGCTAGGGGTTGGGCCTGGGGTGGGTGGTAGGGTAAGAAGAAAAAACAAAGGAGTTTTTTGGGCAGTGAAATTCTATGATGTTATGTTAAATACATCCTATTATATATCTGTCCAAACCAACAGAATTTACAATACCAGGAGGAAATCTCAATGTAAACCACTGGCAATAGGTGATTCTGATGTGTCAATGTAGATTGATCAATTATAAGTAGATTGATCCCCATTCTGCTGGGGAATGTCAATAATGAGGAAGGCTATGAATGTGTGAGGGAATAGGTATATTGGGGATTTCTGTGCCTTCTCAATTTAGCTGTGAAACCAACAACTGCTTTTAAAAAGTCTTAAAAGGCAGTGGGGTTTATATCTGATAGGGATTAAGAACAATCTTACAATAAGTATAACAATACACAGTACACTCAACCTACCCCAAACAGCTAAAAGCCACTTACCTTCCATACTTGGGGAAGGGAAAGCAATCATCATTAGCACAGGGAGAATCATCACTCCATCTACCATGGTACAGCTACGGAGAAAAAAAAAAGTGATATAAGTAAAACCAAAAAAATAAAAATAATATTCAGGATGACATTCAATTAAGCATACCACCATTTTCAAACTGTCATTCAAGGACTTTCCTATAAATCTCCCTCAATTATGTTGCTCATTTCTTAGTACTCATTTCTTAATTATGTTGCTCAATTTCTTAGCTTATTTATCATATACCCTTTCCATGGAGCTAAACAAGTCCTCTTAAGGTCATCAAATTTACCACCCAATGGTGGCTACTCTAAGGCCACTTTCTCTGAGTCCACCCTCTTTCAAAGAACTCAATAAGGACCTGATAAATTCTCAACTACAAAAATGGCCCAAATGATTTTAGGTTTGAATTCTATTATATTCTATCAATCACAAAATTGTCAATAAATAAAAAAACTGAGAAGTAGGAATAGATTGTTCTAGCATGATATTAATGAGTGACTTAAATAATTTAAATTAAATTACTATATTTGAGTCTTACAACCACTTAAAAGGGTTGGAGCTGGAGCAACCTACAATACCCTATCACCCAAAAGGGGGAAACCCTCATATTATATTTCTTCTATGAAAAGCAATGCATCCTTACATTAATCTTTAACAGATAAAACACAACCAAAGCAGGAACAAATCAGGTAAATAGAGAACCTTTACATCTGAATAATTCCTGCCAGTGTTTAAGAATATCATGGAGTTTGTCTCTACTGATACTTCACATAATAAATCATTTAAAAAAATTAATCCTCTGACTATTTGTGACTTTCTGGTAGTAAAATAAGACGAGAGTTGGTCAAATTCTTTAAAGAACAGGTTAGTGTGTTATCTTACAACTTGAAAACAAAAAGCAAAAACCTTTAGCTATCTGAGCTGTTTGGAGGGGACACCTCTGACTCATCTCCTTATAATCAAATATTTGATTGGTGATCTGACTGTCTATTTCCACATCCCCCAATCCTATCTTAACAGTTCTCATTTTAATTTGTCCATAATTATATTTCAAACTGTCTTTTCTTTAATTGCAAGGTATGGGAAGGGTGGGGGGGTAAATGAGATTTACCCTTTTGGAACATAAGCAAGACCTTTTGTTAATGTTGTTTCTGTTATGATTGTTATTATCATGTCCATGTTCACACAGATCTTTTCTAAAGCAAGTCCTTACTAGTGACACAGAAATGCTTCATCTTGGCCTGAGGCCCCTGATAATCAGATACTAACTCCTTCCATCACCATCTCATCTCTGTGACTTTCAACATGAACACACTGTTGGTTCTTTCTTACTCAAATGCCTTGCTCTTCCTCCCTCCGCTCATCTTCTACCCAATATGATCCAGCTCAAAAGGCAAACACTTGGTGAAACATCTCTCCATCTGCAGCAACTCAACCCCCCAACACTGGTCTAACGTGTCTCAGAATCAAATATTTGTCTACGTCAGTCTCCAGAACCCCAATTATGTCTAATAGGGGTCACACAAGAAAATTCTTTTAAGTATGGGCTAAAAATATTGAAATTTTTGTAGTATAAAAATGGTTTAGAGCCTCCCTGGTGGCGCAGACGGTTGAGCGCAGAGCTGTGAAGCTGTCTGCAGCCTCTGCAGTGCAGGTTCAGTCCCGGCCAGCCGGGGAGATATCCAAATGGCACGGCAGACCTCTCCTGTCTTGCCCGCTGCTCCCCTCAGCAGTGTATTTCCATCAGTCCGCCTGTTCTGCTCCCTGTTCTATCTCTGGTGAATCCTCTCACCCTCCCGCACATCTGGCCTCTACCCCAGCTCTTGTATGCATGAATTTTTTTTTTAAATGGTTTATTCCACCAGTGCAGTAAAAAAATTAAATCTTTATTTGGTCTGTCTTAAATCCCTATGACATTCTAGTACAAAAAGTATCTTTCAGAAAGAGTGGGAGTTACATAAGAGGAAAGGGTAGACATAGTTTGCTGGTGAGTGCAGTCACATACTAGTTTTGAAGATCCGTTTAAGTGGAAATGCAGGTTGCATTGGCTAGTTATAATGAAATGAGTGTTCTCCAAGTGTTCGAAAACCATTAAAGAAATTACAGGTTGAATATGTCATTAATGAAGGCACCAGAAAATAGGAAAATGGTGGCACTGTTACCTCTATTCTGAGTGGTTCTTCATTAACGACTTTACTAGCGAACAGCTATAAACATTCAGCTTAATGTAACGTGAAACAGGCTCCTGAAGTTCAAAACTTTAAAAATATTTGAAAAAAACAGATTTACACTTACTATCATAAACAATATCTGAGTGCCTTGGGCTAGTACACCGTCACCACCATTAGCAATACCTTAAATATTTCATCCTTAAACCTTTTAAAATTTCTATTATATATATATATATATCTTTTATAATACATATTTTCTATTTTATAGAAAATGTATGACCAGCACATTTATTGAGGTTGCATGCTCAAAAAACTTTTTAAGAATGGAATATGTCATGAAAAGTCTTTGAAAACCACTGGGCTATCTTAAGTCTTATCTTTTAATTCCAAGTACCTCATTCATTCATTCATTCATTCAACACCCTTTGAGAGCATCCTATGTACTAAATATTAGAAAGATAAAGATACACAATTTTGGTTCTTACAAGATCTGTCTATAGTGACAAACAATCATCAAAAAAAAAAAAACTGTAGCATTGAAAACTGAGTGAGTTAGAAAGATTTAGATTAAATAAAAATGCTAACAAACCAACTTGAGATTTTCTAGAGGGTAGGAAAGCTTCCATGAGGAGGTTTTATCTAAATAAAAACCTGATAGATGAATAGGTGGTACTAGAAAAAGGATGAGAGTGAGCACCAAGGAGTGTAAGAAAGTATGTGTGAGTGTGTGGAGGGAGGGGGGAGGGAGAGCGAGAGGGGGGTGCGAGAGGGGGGAGCGAGAAGGGGGAGCGAGAGGGGGGAGCGAGAGGGGGAAGCGAGAAAGAGAACACCCTGTAGTGGGGACAGGAGAACATTTAAGGACAAAGGCAAAATTTTCCAGCTTCATGAAAGCCCTGTGGTCCGGGCAAGCATATGTCCTGAAAACTTAAGATATACTTGAGAAGTGAAAAAAACTCCAGGTTTGAACAGATTTCATAATGGAGAGACCCCCAAGAATGCTAGAGAAGTAGGCAAGCGTCAGAACCGCAGTAAGGTACAAACAGTAAGCCCTCTGCTCACCTCTCAATGTCATCAACGTCCTTTGTCTCAGTTCTCACTACTGGTCCGTCACCATCCCATTCTCCTAGGCAGTCCAACCAGCCAGTTACTCTCTGTCTTGGGAACTCTGTATATGGAATGCTCTGGTGATTGGATCCTTCTTTCTAAGCCCAATCTGGCAAATTCCTATGCCTTCTTCAAGACTCAATTTAAATATCACTTCCTGGGCCTCCCCGGTGGCGCAGCGGTTGAGCGCTGGGTTGCGAAGCTGCCCGCAGCCTCTGCAGCGCCGGTTCGATTCCCAGCTGCTCCCCGGCCACCAGAGGAGGGTCCCACATGGCGCGCAGACCTCTCCTGCCGCCCGCTGCTCCCCTCAGCAGTGTACTTCGGTCCTTCTGCCTGCTCTGCTCCCCGCTCTGGCTCTGGAGAATCCTCTCACCCTCCCGCGCTTCTGACTGTACCCAATGCTTGTATAAATAAATAAATAAATCTTTTAAAAAAAAAAAATTTAAAAAAAAAAAAATAAATAAATAAATATCACTTCCTTCTAGAAGCCTGCCTAAACCCTCATATACACTCATTACACTTTCATAAGACATTTTGTTAATTTTCATTCAGAGCACTTATCATAATAATTACATAGTAACACCTATGTGTGCTTTTGAACACTTGTTTCCCTCTTTAGACTGTAAACTCCACAACAGTGAAATCTATGGCCTATTGCATTATTGATACCAGAGCCAGGTAGATGCATATTTAATGTTCGCTAAATTCCAATTCTCCCTAAACTAACTAGTTCAATTTAAATTCTAAAGAATTAGCAACTCTCTGCGCCCCCCATCCAATACACAAACATATACAGCAGGCCCCAAATAGTCATTTAGTTGAATGCTGTTTTGTTATAAGGTTGATGAGAATAAAAGAATCCCAATATAAATAAGTTAATTGAGAACCTACTTTCCTTATATGTCACTTCACTTAAAAATTAGTTTTCTAGAACCTACAAAAGGACATTGAGGATTTGCTGTATATACTATGAAGGAATGACAGGATTAGGACATTTATCATCTCTCTAATGTGTATCTCTAGAATTTACTTCAGGTTGTAATAACAGTGAGCAGTTAACAAGCTATAAGCTTCAAAATTAAAAATCTTTTCACTGTTGGGCCTCCCAGGTGGCGCAACGGGTTAAGCGCAGCACTGTGAAGCTGTCCACAGCCTCTGCAGCATGGGTTTGATTCTCTGTTGGCCAGGGAGATACCCCCATGACACAGCAGACCTCTCCTATCTCTCCTGCTGCTCACCTCAGCAGTGTTTTTGCTCTGTCTGCCTGTTCTGCTCCCCGTTCTGTCTCTGGTGAGTTCTCTCACCCTCCAGCCCCTCTGGCCTGTACCCCAGTTCCTGTATAAATAAATAAATCTTTAAAAAAAAAAATCTTTTCACTGTTTAAAAAGTCCAAAAGACAAATCCATTAGCATATTTTTCTATCCCAAAACATTAAAAGCCCAAGCCTCAAAATACCTTTTAAACAGATTATTGTGCAAGAAAAATTTAAACAATAATTTAGACTCATAAATAGAAAACAACAATGAAAGGAGTTACAAATTCATTCCTTCAAGCTTATCTACTGTTTACAGATAGCTCAAAATATGCCAAAAATCTGTGGAAATAAAATCAGCATCAATTACTGGTTGTCCTTTTTTTTTTTCCATTATTTGGAGAGTCTCTTGACCAGTTAATTGAGCTATAAAAAATAGGAAAGGGGAAAAACAAATTTAGAAAAGAGAATAAATGTCCTGGTCATATTTTAATTATGAAGAAAATCAATATACTA